TCGCATATTTGAGCCCCATTTTTTTGTTTGCCCAAAATACATTTTGGAGTAGTATTTTGATAGAGAATATATTGTTAAAAAATAAGAAAAAATTTTGTGTTTGCATGTAATATTATTTGTTGAAGAAGGCGAGGTTAAAAATTAGTGAAAGAAAAATGTATTTTAAAAATAATGAGACCTGAAAAATTTGGGTAAGTGTATCATTATCATATGAAATTAAGATGAAATATAGGGTAAATATGTAATAAATGAAAAAGTCTAAGACCATTGGAGTAAAAACAGCGAAATTGTCAAGAAATCCTAAACCCTGAAAACCCTCTTATTCGAATCAGTTCCAGTATTAACCATGGAATTCATCAATGAATTGAAGTGATTCTCTCACTTGATATTAGGGAAACCCTAAGAAGGAAGAATGTTTGCTTCTGCAAGAAATCTCCAAAAGCACTCTCTCAGATCCCTCTCCTCTTTTCTCAACACCACGTCCAAGTAATGTTCAAGTTTCTTTAATAATCATTCTCATTTTTGTGAGTTTTATTTTATTAATAATATTTATCTATTATTCAGGGATGTAATGCTTGCCAGACATATTGGTCCGGTGAAATTTTTGCCTAGCACTAGCAATGTGTCTCGGTCGAATTTTGTATTTCCGACAAAAGATGGGAATTTGTTACATTCAGCAAAATTGTCGAATCAGTTTGACGGTGCTCGGGGATTTTCCGCAAAGAGCATGAGGAGCAAAGTGGAGAGGCGGATGCGAAAGGAGTCGGGCAAAACCCTGAGAGAGATTCGGAGGGCTAAGAAGTTGAGAAAGAAGTTGATGACCGATGAGGAACGCCTCATTTACAATCTAAGAAGAGTAAGTTGTTGATATCTTACTCTGTAATTTGTAAAACTTGTACAGTTCTGTTTGTGTAAATTTAGTTCCCCAAAAATGTTTTTGTAGATATTATGTTTCAATTTGGTTGCTGAAAATGTCTGCATTTGAGCTTGTGATATCTTGCGGAATGTTAATGCTTTGCTATTCTTAATATGTGATATGCTGTGAAGTTTCCGGCTCCATTTCTTTGTGGATTACGGGTTAATCCATAATAGAACAAGTTGAAGAAATTTTAAACAAATTAAATAACCTGTTTTTAATAGGATAAATAAAATCAAGATACTGTTTATTATCTTTTACAGCGATTAATTA